TCATTACCAGAACCTATTGGTTAGCGTGTCTGATTCACAGCGCTGCCAGGCTGCTGACTCAAATGATTAGAAAATATGTGAGTGCTGTTTATGTCTGGCCTCACTGTCCAATTTATGCTCCTAATATAAGGCCCTATACCAGGAACAGAGATAGTAGGAACTGCCGATGCTTGAGAATCTGAGATAACAAGGTGTAGAGCTGGATGAACACAACAGACCAAGCAGCATCAGAGGAGCAGGAAAGCTGATGTTTCAGGTCTAGACCCTTCTTCAGAAAAATGACTTGCTATCTAAGGAGGGTCCAGACTCGAAACGTCAGCTTTCCTGCTCCTCTGATGCTGCTTGGCCTGCTGTGTTCATCCAGCTCTACACCTTGTTATACCAGGAACAGAGTCTTGCAACATTACAGCTAAATTATTGATGATGCCTCAGGTCGATTGTTTCATATTCTTAGATAGCAATTCAATATTTTAAGGATCACTGGACTTCTTTATTTTAGTAAGAAATTCATCAGATGCTGAAGAGCTTTCATCCAAAGAGCACTTCACGGCCTATACTGAACAAATGTTGTTGGAATTTAAGGCACAGGAGGGGAGGAATCAATGTGCTTTACATGCATTTCAAGAGCAAATTGAACTGCTGCAGGTGGAATCCATGTAGGTACATAAACAAACTTAGAAGAGTACAGCAGTCAACCAGAAGACACTAACATAAACTTAAAAGGATGCTCTCTAGGTGGCTCATACTTCCCTTATATTGCTTTGGGGTCAATAGTCAGCATTTAGTGCCCTTGAATGGTTTGGTCAACCATTTCATAAGTTAGTTCAGAATCAACCACAAATGATGGCAGATTTCCTTCCCTAAATTAGTGAACCAAATGTGGTTTTAACAACAATGTTGTCGCTGTTCAGCTACAGATTTCATTTAAATTCACATTCCACCACCTGCCATGATGGGATTCAAACACAGGTTCCCAGAGCATTATCTGGGTGTCTGGATTACTCCTCTACTGATGGTTCCAGTCTACCATCTCCTCATGGTATCAGTGACCTTCCTTCCTTCATAAGACTAGAAATAAGATATTTGCGGATTATTGCACAGAACTTCATTCCATTTGCAACTCCTCAGATAATGAAGGTGTTCATGCCCATGGGTAAAAAGACCTGGACAGCCTTCAGGCTTTAACTGCTAAATTGATAGATGCCACATAATTATCAGAAGGTGACCATTTCCAACAAATGAGTGTCTAACAATCTCTCCTTGATATTCATTTGCATTCCTACCTTCTGATCACCCATTTTCAACATCCTGAGGTAGGGAAGTGCCCATAAAATTACATTTAGGACAAGACATATGCACATTGTGTCTACATGAACAGGTTGAAGGCTGGGCATCCTGAGATCAGTAATTCGTCTTTTGCTTCCTGTTCTATTTCACAATGCAAGCTATATCCGGGTAGGGGACCCATACTGGAAGTATACCTGCACCATTCAAATAATTCAGAACAAGCAAGTCACAGGGATAACCATCAAAGCAAAATCTTTCTGGCTTGTGATTTCCATTACTGTTGTAGACATAAAATCACAAAAAACTGACACATCAACCCAAAGCTGGTCAGCCAAATATTATGTCTTCCATACACATTGAGGGAGAGACTCAAGAATATGGTGAGCACTTCCCTTATCGTAGTATCCATCAAGCTTAAAAGGCACAAATAATTAAGAGATCCAACAACGGATCAATGACCCAATTCAATCCTCTACCATCCATAGCACTTACTGTTTGTCAACAAAAGCTTTCTCAAATCAACAAAAGTCCCAATGTATAGAACTGGTATTGCTGCCATCTTTGTAATGCAATGGCACCTGAACTATGCTTCAGCAATACACAATGTCACGAGAGAAACTGTTGCTAAATCTACAACATTCAGGCAAAACTTCAACAAGATCAATTTTGATGGAGGAGACACTGTGTTTACATGGCTGGAAAGGTTTTGTATTCTTGACTGTCAATTTGCCAATATTCCACAGCATTTAAATTACAATTTCAGCAGGAAGATTTGTTAAGGCTTTTGCCAAATAATTCTATTTTAAAAATTGTGTGAGGCAATGTACTTTACGTCTAGATATGGAAAGTGGGAAAGTATCCTTTGAAGAAGTGGGAGAGCCTCCATTTTCATCGCAAAAGGCAGAAAAGCCCTCCAGAAAGCAGGACCACAATTTTGATTTTTTTAAAGTAAGTGGTAAATCTCAAGTAAGCTGTACAGAGATACATTATTGCTACTTAGTGGAATTTGACAGTATTGCTAGTTAACAGAATTGAAAGCATTATTGTGAGAATACCATTGCTGTACAGCAGAGTTCAAAAGTCTGAACAAACTCAAAAACAGAATTTAAAACAACTTTGATTCAATACAAGAAGACAAGCTTGAAGATAGCAAATTATAAACAGCTACTGTGATTCTACAGATTTAAAACAGCTTTAAAGCAATAATAATAAGTAAACACATTGAGGAAATAGAAGTAGCAATAATACTTACAAAACTATTTAATGTCAGAGATGGACCAAACAGAAGACAGAATTGAAAAAGAAGACAATTGTTCATTATTTAACAATTCTTAAGATACTAATTGCTTCAAATTAAATACTAAATCTGAAGCTGAACAAGCCAATACATAATTATATTCAATGATTCCTATAGTGGATGATGTTATAAATCACTAAAATACCAAAGGTAACACCAATAGCTTTGTAAAGTTTTGAAGCCTTTTATAAGTACTTCACTCTGAAAACAAAAAGAAAAATTATTCAAACAGCAAGATTTAATGAAAAACTTCAGTTTCCAAGAAAATCCAGACAATTTGGATGGTGGAAAACTGTAACTTTGGAATCTGAACTCACAAGAAGCAAAAATGTTATGGGAATTATTGTTGAGTTTTTGTCAAGTTTCACATAGTCCAAGGACGATGTTGATTTGGAAAAATCTATTCAACATTTGGAAGTCAAAACTAAAAAAGGACATAGGCAGATTCTAAGAGAAGAACAACGATACCTCAGGAGGGCAGTAGAACCTATTCCCTTTATAAGGTACAAACACTTTAAAGAGGCGGGTGAAAAGCCAAAACCAAGACAGAGTCAAATAGCAGATACTAAAAGTTAGTATCGGTGCTATGGAACAACAAAGCCTCACACAAGCAATGCCCACCCACTTGTTATGAGGTGCACCACATCATTCATATGGCACACACAAGACTCCCAAAGCAAGTTCTCTATCACAAGCTCTGTCACAATAAGTGATTATTGGGAGATCAAGGAAAACACTCAAGGACCTCCACAAGCCATCCTTAAAGTATGTAATATCTTATCAATTCATGAGAATCTTTTGGCCAAGACTGGCCAAACTGAGGAAGCGTCAAAGAATTTGCTGATCACCTTCAACAGATTCAGTTGCAGGCCAAGTGCAAACAAAGGAAGAACCATGTGGTAACTCAAGCATCCCAGCCACCCAATGTCTTCATACACCACCTGCTGTACCTATGGCGGGATGTATGGATCCAGCATTGGAGTGAATGGTCACTTCAGGAGCCACAACTCTAGAGAGGAAGAAAGTCATCCTTGACCTTGAACGACTGTGTGAGAAGAAGATGTGTATATTATAGAAACAAAAGCTAGTGTGAGTGCCTTCAAGGTTATAATGATGGAAATTAGGACTATGTGTCGAATAAGCACCAGCTCAATTTTGTGATTTATCAAATCATTCAAACTCCTGTTTCAAACTCACAGTCAGCTTTCTTTCTGCATATAAATAATGTGATGAATTTATAGAGAAAAGTGCATAGATTGAGTTGTTAAGTACTAATTTAGTCGCTGATACCAGTTTATTCTTGTCCCTTTAAATAAATCATTGGGTTAAAATGTAACTAAATATGTTTTTCTATTCCTAACTTTCTGAATAAAAATATTTGTGATCAATTTTCTTCTGTTTGCTTTACTTAGTTGTAGCTTAAAATCAAAGAATTTGTATTTACTCTTGGGTATAAAACTGGCCTTGGTTCAGGTACTGATTTAGTTTAGTTTAGTGTCAAATTTAAACCAAGTCAAGGTATAATAAAAATGCTTTCAATTTTCTGAAGGTGCATGGTAAAGCTCAGCACTGGTGGAAAACACAATATCTGCCAAAGTTATTTTCTGTTTCTGGCACTATAGGCCTATTAAAATATTTGAACTTGCAAGCAGCAGTATTCAGTTTTTTTTAGTTCCCAGAATGTGAAAGAAAATGGCATGATTATCAACTATAGTAGAGGAAAGAGGAACGTTAGAATGATATTAAAATGTTATCTCATAGAATTGTTCCAAAGGTTATTGAAAAAGAAGAAAATTAATGAATAGTGAAAATGTTTGGTCTTTATAACCTCCAACCAACATAATATCCCCACAACAAGCTACTTGTGTCTTAACATCAGTCTAGAAGCTGAGCCACCTATTTGAAAAGACACATTGTATCACAACCTGCCCGAAAACTTCCCCTGTGTTTCTAGTCATCTGTCATACGTATACAGTCCAAATATACAAACCTGCTTGATATCTCTGATCTGTTACTGAGACCTCGGAGATAGCAAGAACTGCAGATGCTGAAGTCAGAGTCAATACAGTGTGGAGCTGGAGGAACACAGTAGGTCAGGCAGCTTCAGAGGAACAGGAAAGTCATTGTTTCAGGTCGGAAGCCTTCATCAGGACCGAGACCTCTTACTTTCCATCTGTAAGATTCTGAACTAAATATCTGTAAATATTTCTCACAAATAATGGTTAACCCATGGTTCAGATAAACATCTGAGCAGTGCATTTGGACTCAGTTGTTTTTCTCAAAAAATAAATAGATTAACAATTCAATCGAAAGCAGAAGTTTACAGGCTTGTTCAAAGGTAGAAAAGAGATTGAATCAAACAGTTCTGAAATGTAAACTGCATGTGCTCACTGGAATTTTGTAATCTTTACTTTTTAGGTTCTTTCACTGAATAAGTTTGGAGCACTTAATGTGCTCCAGGCAAGAGCAAGTAGAAGCCCATTGTGTGTTTGCCAGGAAGCCTAAAGTAACAGCTACAAGAGTGGTGCTGTATCAAACTGAAAAGATAGGCCATCTGTCAGTGGAAGTTTCAACTATTGTAATACGGATGTAGTATAGTTTTGAAGAATCGGTGTTGTTTATTAGAAGAACATTGGAATGTTGTGGAGAATTAACTGGAACCCTGATTCCGTCAGGACCTTGTTCCTGGACTGGAGGTAAGCAGAAAATGGCTCAATGATTGAAATTAGTCCATAACTTTACTATAAATTCTCTGTTTTTCAATTCTAGCCTCTATAAATAAATCCTGGTGCTTGATTCACTTTGTTTTTAGTCTTGATGACCTTTAGCCGAATTTTTAGTGATTGATGTTTTTGTTCCTCTGCCTCACCTCCACTCACACCCCCCCAAATAATAAGTCACCCCTCTACTCTTCATAGCAATATGTTTTATCTTGTATTTGTTCATGATGATATTTATTCCCCAATCATTTGACAAGTCTGCAAGTGTATTAATGTCCTCCTATAATTTGTTACAGTCCTCCTTAGTATTGACCAACATCTCCACCCCCTTCAATTTTTTGTGTCAGCAGTAGATTTAGAATTTTTAAATAATTCTGCATGCAACCATTTATCCTTATGCTGCTAGTTGACTGCAGACGTCAGCAGAGGGTCTGATGTCAAGAATGGTTGTTCCTATTTAAAGACCAACCTGCATTGTTTCAAAGGGAGGTGCATTGTGACTGCAAGAACTAGAGGGACTTCTTTAAAACATGTGTAAATACAAGTGCCAAGGTTTTCAGACAAAGTACTGCAAATCTTAATGGATGAGCTGGAAAGAAGGAGAGAGATTCTGTATCACTAGGGGCATCGGGAGACCGCAGACCTATGTTTAGGTGACAGTGGGAACAAATAGCTGTGAAGCTTAATGCTCTCATGTGGTTCCAAAATATGATTACAATGCAGGAAGACATTTATCAATCTGACACAAGAAATCTAAATGAATGATTTATGTATCGCTAGCCTCATTCACCATTCAAATCTGTACACTCCCATCGCGTACCTACAAGAAATATCGATCAATCATTATTCAACTTGACAAATAATTTGCCCTACCTCATCCTCATAGATTTTGCATTATAGCAAGAGCCATACACAATCCACAGATTGTGCAGGCTATTATTATTATGACAGCTACATCACAAAACACATTGCAAGACACTCACTTCATTTCACTCTTTTACATGAGAGGGTGGCACAGAAAAGGCAGCAGAGGGAAAGAACTACAGGGGGAAAAATATCTGTATTTTGGTAGAGATTTTCATGACTATAAGACATCTCAAAGCATCCTACAGTTAATGAAGTACTTTTAAAGAAAGTAGACATTATAATATCACTGCTTTCTCACATAATGTATTACTGCTATAAGGTAAGAAAGGTAGTGAGACAGGTTCATCTACATGTGTTATGGAGAACACAATGTTGGAGAATAATAGGTAGACCGTCATGAGCCTATGGGCCCTGGTGAGTCTGAAGGGACCTCTAATAAGGGTAACTGCCTGCCCAAACCTCTTTTTCTCATCTAACTTCTATCTCATACTATGATCACTTCTACATCACAAGATACAAATGGTGTAAGCATGTACTTCTTACCTGCTCATGTCCCCTCACCCTTGTTACATTCTCTTTTAATTTCAGATGCCTAAGAACTGAAATCATCCAGGCGATGGAGGGAAAAAGGAAGGAGACATGATGATGAAGATATATATTAGGCAATCCTGCACTTGAGCCCTACTGCTTCGTTATTGACAGTGCATGTATTTGAGAGGCTATGATAGAGGAGGAGTCTGCCCATGGTGAGGTATTGGACACAAGTGCATTGGGACCAGAGTGATGTTAAAGGATAATGCAGATACCAGCTTATCAGAGGATGTGCTGTTGTTTATATCTCAGCAGAAGCTGGCGGTATGTAAATATTAACAGACACAGCCACCTTGCCAGGCGCAAGCAATTTTTTCCCTGCCCTACTTGAGATTGCAGTTGTGGCTGCAACAGCTGTCTGATTTCAGTCATAATTTCATTTGTGGAGTGAAAATATCTGAATTTAAGGTAAGAGCATGGCTCTCTAAAGATCCTCATTTGATCTGGCTCATGGCCCCTTTTGCCCCAGCTCCTCCTTAATTATAGAATAGAATCCCTACAGAGTGGAAACAGGCCCGTTGGCCCAAGAAGTCCACACCAATCCTCAGAGCATCACACCCAGACCCATCCCCCTAATCTACACATCCCTGAACATTACAGGCAATTTAGCATGGCTAATCCACCTCACCTACACTTCTTTGGACTGTGGGAGGAAACCAGAGCACTCAGAGGAAACCCACACCGATATGGGGAGAATATGCAAACTCCACACAGATAATTGCCTGAGGGTGGAATTGAACCCAGGCCCCTGGTGCTGTGAGGCAGCAGTGCTAACCACTGAGCCACTGTGTGGATTGAACACTTGGTCTTGGCATTATTAGCATGATGCTCTAACCAGCTGAGCTAACTGACGGCCACACTTTTTGTGATCTCTCCTCAGTCTACCCAGATAGCTTATTTCAGTATGTGCATTGCAACGATCATTAAAATACTTCAGCATCACAAAGACCAATTCCTGAATTTAAACTCTCGCCAATATAACAATACTCCAAAAATGAATGTATGACACCTGCTGCCAGAAGAAATAAAACAGAAATTAACCTGAAAATAGTTCATGATCCCTTAAAGCAGTAGGAGGTGGAAGGTTGTGTTCAGCTGTGTGAGGTTAACACAAGGCTCTGGCTGGAACATTACATTTGAAAACAGCAGTATGTTCTGATGTTAAACTGTGACCCTCTGCACTTTTTGGAAAATTGGAACAGACCATAAAATCTCAGTCAATTGACACTTTAATTGTCTTAATTCCTTCATTTTAAATCCACATGCTGTTCCATCTACGCATGCCGTGTGCTCCTCATAAAATTGGTACTTGGCATCCTGATGTGAGCTCTGTTCTTTCGCCTTCTCCCTCCCGCTTCCAAGGCCACCCTCAAAGGGACTGGAAAGGTATGCCATGGACAGAAATTTGAAGAGATAGAAATTGTGTTGGATGTAAGAGTACAAGCATGTTACATTAAGTGGACCTCAATTAAATTCATTTGGTTAAGTCTTGCTGCTGTAGGAGAGTTTAAAACATGTAATATCAGTCAGCAATCCTCCCAATTTTTATTTCTATTGAAGTCAAAAACTGGAAGAGTTGTAGAAAACATTGTCAACAAATCTGTTTAAAACCATCACGTAATATCAAAATGGCCCCTTTGTCACTAAACTCAAACACTGAGCTACATGGATCTTTGAGTCTTAATTTTAGAATAAACATGGGCAATTTTGATTACAACTTCATCACTGAGGAAGAATCTCTGCCATTAACTTGAATTTAGAACAAGTGAGCCTATAATTCTTGGTTGGTTCTATCTTTGGTATTGATTATAAACTCTTGTTTAATTCTGTGGCCCACTTCCACTCTGCAACATTAGGCCCATTGTTTACTGTACACTAAACAACATACCAGATTCCAAGAAGTGAATAAATCAGATCAGCACCTTATCAGTCACTCAATTCACATTTCACAGTTCAGCCATAACTATTAGAATGAAGACGGTGAGCTTCCCACATACTGTGTGAAATTGGAACTATGTTACATGTAAGTTATAAACAGCAACATCTGTTACTTAACCTGACACTGAAGTTTTTCACAACATTTAATTTTGCTTCTTAATTTAATAGTTGTATTACAAGTATTAGCAGTAAGTTTATACAATGGTCTAAAATGTAGAAATTGAGTAATTTTAAATTACACCCTGTACAAATCTTTCAAGACTAGAAAATTGGCTGCCCATGCATTACGTTATGGCCAGCCAAGGTGTCCTATGTGCCTCACCAAGCTGTTTTTCTAAAGACAAGTTAGTGTAGCTGGATGATTCCATAGAAAGTGTATGATTGGTGCAGTACTATGTGAGTGCTTTCGCTTAGCGTGATAAATCTGCAGTTTGGCTTTCAGAGTGATGCTGGCTTTGGGAGAAGGTGAATGAGAGTTGATTGCTGCCTTGGAGTTGTGGGGTGATGGCTGTGGGAGAATGAGAGTCAGTACACCTTGGTAGAGGTGTGTGATGGGAGTACCGCTACTAAGGGTGGAATGGGGGCAGCAGGGACAATAAGAGTTAGGTGGTTAGACGGATGAGGGAGAGTGTTGGACAGGGCATGAGGAAGCATGCCTGGGTACTTTCATAGCAGTCACATACTGTTCCTCAACAAAACCTCCAAGGCCTGAGTGTATAGGCCTTGTTGGTGGATGTGAGTAAATGGGGATGGGGTGGGTGGGTGTTAGTGAATGGGTGGGTAAGTTGGTGTGAGTCGGTAGATGAGCGTGAGTGAACGGATGAGCAAGTGGGTGGATTTGGGAGAATGGTTGGGTGTGTGTTTGAATGGAGGATGTGTGAGTGAATGAGAGTATGTGTGTGAATTGGTGGGTTTGGGGCTGAATGAGTGATTGGAAGTAGGAAGGTGGTGGATGTCGTTACATTGGTGGTTGGGGGTGTAAGTGATGGTAATGCCCATTTAATTCTACTTGTGTGGATTTCTTTTGGAATTTTTCCCTTGTAACATTATTCATTGCAGTGTACAAACTGTAATGAGATTAATATCGGAAGCATACCTGATGATGATGTCAGAATCAAAGATTAAGTATCGCGAGCTGGAAGGGAGAAGAAGCTCTCTTTTAGTTTAAAGAGAGTGTGTGTATATATCACAGTTCTCAATAAAAGGCTCCTGCAGAAACTCCTGCATTCTTTGGGCTTCTAAACAGAGTCAGACCCAAACACTTAACAAAATGTAAATCATTCCCAATTTAGGATGAATTGTGTGATTGTTTGTTAGCCAGTAAGTACCCTCATTAATATAACTTGCTGGTCTATTTAAATCTGTTGACCACTTGGACTCACAATGACCCTGAAATTCCAATGGCCAGATGCTTGATACTCGATAATGCCACCTTCCTGACCCCAGTGGACCCTCCTTAAACCCCAACCCAACACCTGCCCTGACCCAGCACCCAACTCCCTCATCCAAACCACTGGCTCAATCAAAATGCTCCCCAGCCACCATTCCAATCGAATACTCCTGGTCCGAGCCATCCCCTGCCAGACCTGTCTTGACCTGTCCATCCAGAGAAATCTCCCCACTTGTGTCTTCCCCCACCACTCAAATCAACCTAACAACAAATCCAGGTAGACCCAGTACCCCCACTGAACAAAACCCTCGTCCTCCCCCGATACAATCCAAATACTCATCCATTTGCCTGGCACCCTACCTCATCATGTACACAAGACCTTAGCTCCATAGCCCTCCCTAACCCCTAAACCACCTGACATTCTAAGGCTCACATCCATATGGCACCTCCTCACCCATCTGGCACTCCAGTCCCGTACCTGCCTGCTGCCCTAATCCCTCACCCACTTGGCACTCAAATCTACAACCCAACAGCCACCTTCCCCGGCCCCCTCACATACTACCCCCTTACCCACATGGCACATTGACTCAACACCTACCCACCCTACCCACCACCCTAATGCACTTACCTTTCTCAGTAGTAGGCAATGTGACTTTGGGACCTTTCAACAACTTAACTTGTGAAATATGTGCTAAAAAGAGGGGCATCTCTCAGCCTGCAACAGTGCTCCCGTGTTGAACACAGTTCTCCCCAGTTTGCTCCAATGAGATGCCAGGCTCAGATATGAATAGGAAAGATTTAGAGGGCTATGAGCCAAATGCTGGCAAATAGGTCTGTTCAGGATATCTGGTCGGTGCGGACGAGTCGGACTGAAGGGTCTGTTTCCATGCTGTATGACTCTATGACTGTATTTGAATGGAAAAACCACTAAAAGGGATGTGTTTAATCTTAAAGAGGATCACTGTCAGTCAAAACTGTTCAATGATAATTGGAAAATATGGGCCATTTTTTGGATCCAAGCAAAACAGAGGAATTATAGCCTGAAGGACTGAGTATATGTCGGTATGGAATGAAAACCAGGAAAGCTGCAAGCTGGTTGGAAAGCTGGATCCATCCTCTCAAACTTCATGTTTCAGTCAAGTGTGTTAGGCTGTCTATGAGTAATACCTTTGGGAACGGTGTGCTGCCGAGTAGCATAGACTCATTTCTTGAATAGAGTTTAATTCATTTTCAAATTTAAGGACATATCCACAGGTTTTTGGATCTTCCTGAAATACCAGTATATATAAGGCAGGATCATAATAGAAATTGAGGTGGCTGATTCAACCTTATGGAAAAACTTTATTAAACACTCCCTATTTTCAGCTGATCTTTTAATTGATTGTGGGAAAGTTAGTAAGAGTTTACTCTTACATATGAAAGGTTTTCTGGGTTGCAGTACTTTACTTTCCATAGATTAGAGATTGTACATTGACTGATGTTTCCAGAGCAGCAACAACAGCAACACCAGCACCATCTGTGCAGTTCTTCAGGGTAATGTCCTAGGGCCAACCATCTTCAGCTGCTTCATCAATGACCTTCCCTCCATCATAAGGTCAGAAGTGGGGATGTTTGCCAGTGATTGCACAATGTTCGGCACCATTCGCGAGTCCTCAAATACTGAAGCAGTCCATGTTCCAATGCAACAAGATCTGGACAATATCCAGCTTGGGCTTCAAGTCACAAGTAACATTTGCGCCACACAAATGCCAGGCAATGACCATCTCCAATAAGAGACAGTCTAACCACCACCCCTTGACATTCAATCATGTTATCATCACTGAATTCCCCACGATCAACATCCTGGGGGTCACCATTGAGCAGAAACACTACTGGACTTGTCACATAAACACAGCAGCTACAAGAGCAGATCAGAGGCTCAGAACACTGCAGTGACTAACTCACCTCCTGGCTCCCCAAAGTATGTCCACCATCCACAAGGCACAAGTCAATAAGGTATTGGAATATTCCCCTCTTGCCTGGATTGATGCAGCTCCAACAACACTCAAGAAGCTTGACACCACCCAGGACAAAGCAGCCCACTTGATTGGCACTACATCCACAAAAACTTACTCTCTCCACCACCGACGCTCAGTAGCAGCAGTGTGAGCTATCTACAAGATGCACTGCAGAAATTCACCAAAGATCCTCAGACAGCACCTTCCAAACCCACAACTACTTCCATCTAGAAGGACAAGGGATGCAGATTCATGAGAATGCCACCAACTGCAATTTTTTCTCCAAGCCACTCACTATCCTGACTTGGAAATCTATCACCATTCCTTCACTATCACTACGTCAAAATCCTGGAATTCCCCTCCTCAGGATATTATGGGTCAGCATGTGGATTGCAGTGGTTTAAGAATGCAGTTCGCCACCATCTTCGCAAGGGCAGCTAGGGATTGGTAATAAATACTGATGAGCCAGTGATGCTCATGTGCCATGCATGAATAAAGAAAAAGCAGCAGTAATATTAATCAGAATGAACAGGTGCTTGGGTTTGCATCTTTGAATGGCTTCCCAGAGTTGTAGGATATCAACAACTACATATATGTGCCAATGTGAGTAGGACCATAATAACCGGGGATATTAGTCAACCACAAGATCTTGCATTCCTTAAATGTTCAAATACAAAAGGATATTTATGCAAGTGAATTCGAAATTCATGGTGTACTGCCTGGTCTTCTGCTTTAACAGTCCAAGCTTCCTGAAATATTCAGACCTGCTTAATAAGTAGCTGACATGAGGCAATGAAGATCCACTTCAAGCTTGGATGGTGACACTCATCAGAAATCCAAACAATAAAGTGCCACAGTGAAGCCATACATGATGAGTGATCAGCCAAATGTTGGTATGTT